ACAGCTCCCTTCAAGAAGATTTTCATGTCTCAAGTCGGCAGCTAATAAATCACAGCCAGTTCAGTTCTTCATACCCATCTTTTACAACACAGAATGCCCTCAGAGCAAGCCCCAACCATTTCCAACGGGCATAGGCCGTCAATTTCCTACCTCGTCATTGGATCGAAATTCCAGTCAGCAACCCAGTCAGCCCTACAGCGAAACCTTGAGAGCAGAGCTTATGGAACAAGGAAAAACTGGGATTGGAAGCCAGCCAATCCAATATTTGGGAAAAAACCAATGTCTCATTTGACCACATCAAGAAGTAAGCGTGAGCACTTCAGGATACGCCTTAAAAACCAGACAGCCAGCCCTAAAGTTGCCTTAGAAACAATGCAGCCAGCCCAAACACCCTCCATAAATGGTATGATCAGCAGCAATCAGTTCGAGCCTCATCATCGACCCCATCGATATTCAAAAAACAACCCTCACCTCAGCGTGCATATCATTAGACGGCATGTCAGAGTATACCAGGTTTCCTTCTGCCTCAACAATTAATAGTCATTCAGGGAGCCGTACAACCCGATTTGAACATCCAGCAGTAGATTTCAGTCTTTCGGAAAATCAGTTCCAATTGTCGAGCCATTTGTATTCGACGGAAATCCGGCTCAATGGTTAGATTATATCGGACATTTCAACGCGACAATTGACAACAGGGCGAAGTCACATAGAGAAAATTTCATTCATTTACGGCGACTCGTCTCCGGAGATGCAAAATCTCTCAACCGCAGATGTGGAGGCAACTCACCAATGTACAACTCAGCACTCCAACGCCTGGAAAACAATTTTGGCAACCCGACGATGATAATGACATCCTTTGTTTGACGAGTGGACAGCATACGCAGTCTGAAAAATAAGTACATTGCGTGCATCTCGACAGGACACCAGGGTACTACAATAAGGAACGCCAACTGATACGATTGTGCAACGAACTATTTCTTCAGCTCAAAGACATGGAAACCAACTCTACACATTCCGACATTTCCAATAACGATCTCTTATGGCAATCATGAACTAAAAGCCCATGCCATGCTTGATTGCGCTAGCAATCCCACATTGCTAAAGTTTTCAAGCGCCTTTCCACTAAAACTGAATTTCAAGTTAAACGAGGATTTATTCAAACTGTGACTTAAAACGAAACAACCTCTGCCAGTATTACTATTGAACTCAATTGAACTTCAAATATCTGCGGCAGCTTTTTCAACTGAACAAAAATGACATAATTATGGCTTGGAATCTCTCAGATTTTGATCCACAGCATGCCAAAATCATCCGCCAAAGGAATCAACAGTTTTAGCATATTCACAACGCAACACTGTCTTGAAGAAAATTGACTCGTTAAAGGATGCAATCTCAATAAGACATAAAATACTGGTTGGATGGAAAACGAATTTAGGATGCTCCCTTTGCCGAAAAAACAATGTAGCTTAACTAATCGACGCCCGTATCTTTCACTTCACAATGGAGGATTCGCTCTTTTACATGTAGCCGAATGAAAGAAAATGAGCACCGAGTGAATCTCAAAATACCAACAAAGCCTCTTAGCAGACGACTAAGGAAGCTCTCGACAAAGTCATCGACCCACTGTCTACTCAATGGACAAAACTAAGCTGTAATGCTTTAGAAACGCGGACGATTTTTGTCTAATAACCAAATGTCAAGCAACACGGAAAAATTCTCTAGCGATTAAGAAGAATCCCAACCACGGAAGCTGAGTACCAGGAAACCATCGACACAGATTTTCAGATAGAAACGCGACAGGAAGCTAGTAATTGCCTCAAAGCACAATTTTAACTAACATCATCGAAACTGTAATTGAGATCACGATGACCAAAACAGTTTTCCATGTCAGTAGACACCGAGGCGTTATGTTCATACAAGTTGCATAGTATGCTTCTTCGCTAAGCTTCAAGATCAGCCATAACTACGAAAACTATGGTGAGAAGACCACAACAAGCCTATCACTTGTCAGTTTACTAGACACATCTGTGTAACGGATTTACTTGGCGTTGTCTGCTACGCTACCCGAGAACATTCCAAAGACAATGCCCACGAGTCTCCCAATTTGGCGCAAATCACAGCAAAAAATATCTAAATGGACGACCTGATTAAAGCCGTGTCAAAGCCTGCCGAAGCCACTAGATTGATGAGACTCCTTCAAACAAGGTTCAGACTTGAATGTTTCGATTGACAAAAAGGACATTCAACTCCGAAGAGTTTCTGATGACCGTCAACGAGAACCACATAGGAAACAGTAAAAACCTCAGGTCTGACAGGACACTTCTCGAAACAGTACTAACAGTCAGGTGGAAGTCCGACACATGAATTTTTCATGTGGAGGGCAAAAATTATGAGACGACCAACAAAAAAGAACCCCACACAGCTCAATCTAGTGAAGTTTGTTTCTTCAATCTTCGATCCCTTTACGATAATCATGCCGTTGACATTACCACTTCGCAAATCAGTTCAATTTGCCTGGATCATTCTTCCTCAATGGGACAAACCCCTCAACCTAGAATCTCTGACGGATTTCAACGAATGGTTTGACGAGCGCAACCATTTCAGGTTCAACACAGCGGAAATAAAGTTCATCATTGCAAAAGCTTGAATAACAACTATGAAAATGATGACAAAAACTGATCTTGGAACTACAAGCCAAGACAAATGGAGCCAGTTTTGCACGATTTATCAAAGGACAGCATTACATTGAAATACACAACACAATACTCTGAACAGACAGTACGACCATTCTACAATGGATCAGTTTTGAAATCAGCGCCACGGGAATTTCATTGCCAACCGCCTCAATTTCAATTGGACTCGGCATCGCTAGAAGATTGGAGATATGTTCCCAGCAAATACAACCCTACCGACGATGGAACATGCTTATACAAGACATGCGAAATGACAACAGACTCTCGATGATTCAAAGTACCGGCCTTTATTGGACAAGCTTCATCAGATTGACACGCTCAATTAAACTTACAGCCTTCGACCGATGCTGTAACTACAGAAAGTCAGTCTAAGCTGATAGCTAGACACAGTAGACAGCACATCTCAGCAGTAATTAACTTTAGCCGATTCAGCATGTAGACAAGAGCTCTAATGGTGACGGAAAAAGTCAGCTTGCTCTAGCGAGCATAAAAGCAAGAAGACGAACCAGCTGACCTTTCAGGGTCTAGTCAATGCGTTCGCATCTTTTGTGAAAGATGTCAACTCAACAGTTTCCCCAAAAAAACGTACAGCCTTCTTCAAAAGACACCATTTGTTGGAACCAAAGGACGAATCGGCAAAGCGACACTATTTCTCGGCATATTCACGACAGCAACGGACATTGTGGGTTGTGAGAGAGCCGCAGCATCCTAAAACAGGATTTCTGGATTCTTCACTTAATCAAATTTCTGAAAATAATTATCCGGCAGGGACCACTATGCCGCCGACTAGATCAATAACCAAATACGCCTCTAATGGCTGACATGCTTCTTGTTAGAGTGCCAATAATGGACAACAATTACCTCTTGCTCGCAGCAGCTGCTGACTTCATTGGACCCTTCGCAACGAATAACAACGGAAATTTTTCCTTAAGGTATATTTTGCTCTTCACCTCGGTGGTTACTGGAGCTCGCATTGAAATCCTGCAACTTCAACAACGGCGACGGCACTCAATTAAACAACGGAAAAAGTTTCGCTGGAGCCAGAAGCGAACTCGAGCAACTGCTACTGCAACTTCATGAATAGCAACAGTACGAAGATCAGAGCGAACTTCTTGTATTGAATTTAAAATTTAACCCACACATTGGAAACTTTTGAGAAAGATTGGTGACTCGAGGATTTTTTCAAGAGTTATTGGATCACGCACCCTCAATGACGACACATTTTCTACCTTTGTCTGGGATGTAGAACCAGTCAGGAACTCTTGCCCCCTGACAAACGTTTCATCTGACCGAACAGATTCGAAACTTCTGACGCCCAATGATTTCCTGTATGGATGGCGATCTGTGTTTATTTCAGCCGGGACATCTAACGAAATCGGAATGAGATACAAGCTCTCCCCAAGGGTTTTCAAAAAAGCAATTAACGAGAATATTTGTCGACACTCTGTCAACGATGAAAACGGACAAGAATTTACAACCATGAGACCTAGTCTGGATTCTCGAAGACCTCACGCTTCGCAATTTGGCCCCTGGGTTGGGTTCTCGGTGCGTTTCCTTGTTCTCATGGAATAGTAAAATCGTCTGAAGTACAAAACAACCATGGACGCCTCACTAGACTCTCTATAAATTCTCGTTAGTTTTATAGCTGCTAGTTCCCATCAACAGCAATTTCAATACTGATAACAGGACAAGAAGCAGCAGAAACTCAGTCAACTCACCACCAGATCTATGAGTTTTAAAATTGATTACGGAAAACTTTTCGACTACGACGACTACTACTGACGACACCCGACAATCATTCTACTCAATCGACTTTTTTTGCAACCTGCAAACGGGCCCCGGCTATGTTCCCGCGAGTTTGACGTACGTGTCAAAAACATTCAAAACATTGAAGACAGCATTGAAAACTTAACAAAAATGAATTACCAACAAGTTTCATTTAAATCATTTTAAAAACTGGTTTCGTTTAGCTTAGCAACCGGATCCAGTCATTCAACTGAGTAGCCACCTATGTTTTATGGACTTTAGAATTTAATTACTACCCTTATTTGGGGCATGGTAATGAAAATCAGGTCTCTAAAAAACGATAAAAGCTCTCAATCTCTCTCTCTCTCTCCTCTCCTTTGAGATACTTAGGGTTTTGTACGGTTTACTATCCTCCCACAGTCTCTTCTTGTCCCCCTTTTAGTACTCTTGTCTATTTTAACTCATGTTGGCTTTGGATAATTAGTCCGGGACACGCACCAAAAGCCCAGAAGTATTACTAGAACGGCTCAAAAAGCGGCTTTGAAACTTTTATTTGCAATTGTTATGATAAAATCCTGCTGTTAAAATGTGGTTGTCGTGAGCTCTTCTACCGTTCTCTCCGTTCTGGCACCTTCATCTTTTAATATAAAAAATTTTCGATCACGTCGTCAAATTGTAATTATAGTTGTATCGATATCCTACATAAAATTGATCTCATGTACAGCCTTGTAATACTGTTGGTTATAATATCAAAAAAAGGTGTTAAATTTTGCGGTGGTGAATGGCAAAAGGGCCGTTTGATGCAATGAGACGATTGAAATGCAAAACAGAGAGCTCTTAATCTCCCTTTCACTGCCCTATAAAACTAGTAGTCTGCCGCAGTCTATTCGACTCCCAGACGTCTATAGCGTATAGGATTTCGATCATAGATGGCATTTCCAATACAGCAAGAAGTCACAATGCACAGCCACTGAAACAAAAAAGAGCAATTATTTACTTTAAAGTTACATCAACTGAACACCCTTAGCCGGATGATGTTGATATTGTGTTAAAATGTTAATCAACAAAATGCTCGTGGAGTCCAAACTACTGCATTCCATCAAAGTTGCATTAGATTCCACGAATGGTCAAATGATGAAACAACATAGAACTTTTAGAGACAAACGCTTAGCCATATGCTTGATTTGTGTTCCACTGATCAAAGTTTCTGGCCAATTGAACTAAATTTCGATAAACGTCACTGGGTTACAGAACTGGGTTCCAATAGGTAGATTCCAGAGTGATTTGCGTCTATCAATCTTAAAACTTGGCCCAATAATTTGCCTGAATACAACAAGCAAAAAGTTTTGAGCTGGGTTTTTCCGTTTAAGGTTATCCATTGAAGCTCATAGCATCGCTGTTTTCATCACATGATTTTTTAAATAATTTTTGTCAAAACGACTTTTTTTAAGAATGGAAATTTGTCTTAGGGATAAAAATACACATTTAAAACTACTGCTGAGCCTTCGTGAAAAAGGACAACAAGTTCAACAAAAAAGATAAACAAATTTCTAAGATATTGATTTTTAAGGAAAATATTTGCACTACAAAATCTCTACCAAAGTGATTTTTTTTAAATTCGATTGGTGGCGCAAGCTGACTTAAATGATTTTAAATATTTTTTGCTAGAACTAAGTAATCAATAGTTAATTTTTCACTCTACTTAAGTTTGAAAAGAATATTTTTTTTCAGAAAGTCAAATTAGGGCATTTTTTTTGGTTTTGTTTATTTTATTTCTGGCATTGAAATTTAATTGGTCTCCACGATGCAAAAATGTTCAAACAAAGATGTCAAAGTAAAAAACAATTCTAATTAACAAAACTGTTCATTTATCAGGGCGAAGCCTTGAATGTTTCGACTGCATTTTAAGGCCAAGTAAAACAGTTTTTTTTTGGAATAATAAAAAAATAATTGAGAAAAAAGAAAAATTATATTCCCCCAGACGCCATGTAAAATACAAAGGTGTGTTTAGCGTCTCGTACTGTTTTAATAGGATTAAATTGCTGACCTCAATTTAATTTGGAACTCATTAAATTGCCCTCACGCGTGTTATAAGAACGCAATATATCGCATGTTAATTTTCCCAAATTAGCAATTTTTAAATCCCCGTAGTTTTTCGAGAAAAGATCACAGAAAAAAAAGATATTTTTATACTAGAGCGCTGAGCTCAGGACAACAATACTTGTCAAATGGCATACAAAAAATCCGCCAAAAGCGCCTTGTTAACCATTCGGTATTTGACTGAGTAGAAAAACCACACCAAACATAAATATTCTACACTTTCTTTGAAATTCGGAACAATCATTAAAAGAAGTTTGAAGAACATAGAAACATTAAACAAAACTGCTCTGATTAATTTTTGTATGATTAAACAAAACTGCTCGTATCAAGTTGACGCCCTGAGTATTCCGACTGCCTCTTAAGCTTGATAGAATAGTGTTCTCGCTAGGAAAAAGTGAAAATTTTGAATTTTATTTGAGTTTTTTTTTTAAAAACGATTCACCCACACGCTATTTTAAGTACAAAGTGTTTTATTTCGCATATAGGAAATCAGTAATTAGACAAAATAGGATGCCTCCATTGAATTAATTTGAAATTTTTTAGCTTACGCCTTAATAGCACGAATTGTATCGCGGTTAAGTGTCACAAATTGACAAAATTGGCGATCCTTAAACCCGCATAAATTTGAGAACAAACAATCAAAGTATTATTCGAGCAGCGATGCCAACCGCATTTTAGCTTAATACAAGCTTACTCAATTGATACGCCACAGATTTCCGGATCGATAACCATAAGCTGTCAACTTTTGTAAACTTGGTCTGAATAAAAAACCGCCGCAAATATATTCCTCACATTCTTCGAAAATCGGAACAAAAACTGGAAACTTTGTCTTTCACTTTTCCCAATTGATAGTGTCTAAACTTTTTACTTTAAATGCCAATTTATATCACATTTGCGTCTATTAACAGCACGACAAATTACATTACGAAGCCAAACTGTGCATTGGATAGGCGCACAATTTTGTGTCTGTATGTTCCTGGATTCTAGAAACAAGTCTTTTAACGTGTTCCGAAATGTAAGTGGATTCCACTTACAAAATTACAGTGGATTCTGCGTACAGAAACCAGTAACGTTAATTTTGTCGGCATATTTATTTTGTTGAGGATTCCGCAACGAGCAAATATAGGTAGTTGTTCCAGATTCCGCAAATGTAAGCGGATTCCGCAAATGTAAGTGAATTCTGCAAGTTTATGCGGATTCCGCTTTCAATTTGCAGATTCCACTTATAGTTGCGGATTCCGCGGCGGCTTAATTTTACTAAACACATATATTATTATTTGTTCATGGATTCCATAAACTTGTTTCGTATTCCACCCATTTTGTTGGGGATTCCGCAAAAATGTCTGTTTTTGGAGCAATTTTGAGCAATACAATGTTTTAGCTATTTCTTTATGGAATCCAAAACTGCAGTGAAAATTTAAAAAAAATAGCATTTTGGTGGAATCCGAGACAAAAAATGATTTTTGCCTGTTGCGGAATCTGCTTACAATTCACAAAATGCACAGTTTGGCCTCGTAATGTAAATCTTTAAACTTCTTAAAACCTTTTATCGGAATGAAAATTTACACAGCTTTTTCCTCTAAAAATCAAACGTAAGCGCTTCATCTTTCTACAATAAGTATCGGGCATCAATTATTTTCAAACTGTTTAAAATGCATTTTGGTATTACAGCAGGATCCATGACATACTTTGAAGACTTAGAAAATTTCTCGCTGACAAACATGAAATACAATCAAAAGTGACTGAGTGGGAGGCGACTAGTTTTTCAAGATATTTGTTCACGCTATTGCGTTCTAGACATGACACATACGACTGTGTTTAAGAAACTTTCTAGGTTTTTTGAAATTTAGTTCAATCTTTTTGCTACAAGAACTGCCCAATGAACTATAGGGAGAAAATTAGAAGAATTTAGCTTCCAGTGTGGCCAAATTGGGATGAGGGCAACCCGTATTGGAGTTCCATATAAAAATATGGTAATAATTGAGTTTCACTGTCAGTGTCCAAAAAAGTGAAAAAAAAAACGATTATAATCAATTAAAATGGATTATAATATTACTATTTTTCGATGCAACAACATCCATTTTTACTCCATTATAATCGATTTTTTTTTACTTTTGTGGACAAGAACAATAAAACTTAAATATAATCAATTTTTTTCTACTTTATTGAGATGCGAATTCCAATGGACATAATTTCTTTTCTACGTTTTAAGCTTAAATTTGTTTATTTTTGCTTATTTTAAAACTTTGATATTTTTGTTACTTTTTTATGTTAATCAATCACTGAACTTTGTTCTTTTCAACAATTGCACGCTTACATCCCACCAATATTTGCACCTTTGCCTCCTTTGCACCATTGCACCCGCCATCCCCCACCTAAACCAATCTCAACCCTGCCCCCACCTGAACTAACCCCTTCCGCCAAATGAATCCCAACTGAACCAACCCCCCACACACACCCACCCTACCTGAACCGGATCAGAGAGGGGGATTCAAGTGGATGAGAGGGTTGTTGGTTCAGGTGGAGGGGAGTGGTTCAGGTGTGGGGTTGTCCCAGAAGGCCAGGTGGGGGGATGGTTCAGGCGTGGAGGGGGTAAAGCGGCAAAGGGGCAAACGTTGGGATGGGGGTTGTAAGGGAGCAAAGGGCCAAACGAAACCTTTTTGCAATTTGAGACTAGGTTTAGAAAGGGAGTAGGCCGCACACTAACTTTGCAAAGATTTCGCATTACTCATTTGATAATTTGGCAAGACGCGAAACAAAAATAAAGTGGAAAAAAATCCATTTTAATAAGATTTTGTATTTATTTTATAATCCCTTAAAATGGACTTCAATTGAATTGTAATGCATTATGTTTTTGCAAGAAGAAAGGGATAGATTCATTTTTTTGTCCAATTTTGTTGTCTGAGCCTAAAATTTAAATCGATTATATTAACAACCTTTCAGACCACAAAAATCTATTTTAATCTTTTTTTTTTCACTTTTCTTCGATGTGGGAAGCTAACAACTTGTCACACTTATTCTTTTTAGATTCAAACTGAATCAATTCGAGCTTCTCCGGGAATCATTAATACTTATTTCTTGATTACCCATCCAGAAAAATTGCCCAAAAATATTGCATATAATTTTTAACCAGAGGCACGGCAACAGTTCTCTGTGAAGAGCTGAACAGCTCGTATGTTGGTCCTTTCCCTTGTGGATAAATAATCTAGTAAACACTTTTTAAAAGTCCAAACAAAATTTTTTTCCAAATATTTACAGAATAGTCGGAAAATTCAATGAATGCTCTCCGTTGATACGAGAAATTGAGTTGAATCCTACTTCCAAAAACTAGAAAAAAAAATTGTCAGTACCAATCATTAGCCAAAGCGATGCCAGAATTGTGTGACGAGGCTTTTAAATTCGGTAACTGAAATCGAGAACATAGACTCGGTTTCATTCATAGTATTTTATGAAATATATAATATTTTGTCGGATCTCTCTAACTATCCCCCCTTTGGTACCTAGTAACGAATTGCCACCGCTTTAATGAAATATTTCAAAGATTAACCATATGCGAATTGGGAAGTAACGATTTCCCCCCTTTTGCAAGAGGTGGAGATGGGATAGTAAAAGATAGCGTGACGAACAGACGGTGTACCTTATCCGAAATTACTCTATGAGAAGGCCACCCCGGACCTAAACTCGAGATCCATTTGGTCTAACGATGATTCAAGCATACCTCTGTGAGTGCGACCACAAGGCCGACCAGAGTGACAACCAGAACTCTATCGTTCACAAACTCCCACAATGCTTCACTGCAGTTCTAGATTTAAAAAACATCAATAAATAATTGCTTGAATACAGACGCTGTGGCAGTGAAGGTTATACTATTATAACAGATTTTAATTGAGACTGAAGTTCCGATAACTATTTTAAAACGTTCATAAAATCCGTGGTTAATGGGGCGTGGATTTTTTCAAATATACAGATGAAGTTTGGAAACAAGATTTGAACCATAGACTTAATAAAGCATCAAGATTTTTTATATGGTAATCGCAGAGTGGCAAATCTATAATTTGATCTCTCTAAGAATATACCTTTCCCTTTATGATTACTTATCAAAAAGAACATTCAGTTCAATAAAATTTGCGCATAATGCTATAGATCGCCCATCCCGCACTGGAATTTCATGGGAAATCATCGATTATAATGGATTATCTTGCCAAAAAACTTAACCCATATAATCGATTTTCATGACCCATCCATCCAATCATGAAAATGGATTTGTAATGGATTCTAATCGATTACTTTTGCAATTTTATGGAGACTGACTATAAAATGACAATATAATCGATTATTATCCATGAAACTCCAGTGCGGGATATACAGTGAGTTTTTTATGCGACTGGCCAGATTTTGTGCTAGTTTCGGGGCTAGCGTTCAGACTTCAAATTAAGCCGCGCACCTCTACCCTGGTATGCTAGAGGTGAAATAGTCAGCCAGAGCTGCAACCTCGAATTAAACCTCGAGACAGACCTCGAGGTCAGAAAGGCAGATTATATCAATGTAATATTTCTTTTTTCATATTTTATTAAGCAAAGAAGACGGATGAGTTTTGATTTTACCTGTGAATAAATTCCACTTGGTGGGTTGCTTGCGCATTCTGAAGATGGAGCGACACAACAAGAAACTGGAACTGTTTTGTTGTGGAACACTTCGAACCAAGTAGTGTAATTTGATCCCCCACAACAACTGAACTAGTCAAAGCACGAAATGATTTGTTAGGTTGTGCCTTGAAACTTGCAAAAAAATTCCGAAAACGAGCAAACACGTAATCATAGATTTGTTGATACGGAAAACTTTTAAAACAAGTTTTGCTCACTATGTGACTGATCAAAAATAGCTGCTATTATTGTTGTCTTCTCAATACGGTGCGTTGGGAATTTGACCCGTTTCGTCCTTACTTTACACAGCATACCTTGCTTCAATTAAAAAGTCAACTTTTGCACCAAACAGCAATACTTGGTTTAAAGCAATAACTTATTGCAATTCGGATTTGTTCTGATTTGTTAAAGTAGTGTTCCCACTTTTTTCGAAGAAAACAAGACTGGTCGTATATCAGGACGGAGCCGGAAATGTTCCGATTGCACTTAAGGCCAATTTAAAAAAAAATTTTGGGGGTTGAATAATTGACAAAATAATTGAGAAAACAAAGAGAAAAAGTTTTTTTTTTCATTTTTTCTTCAATTTATCCCTCAAACGATGTGTAAAATAAAAAGAGTGAGTTTAGCGTCTCATTTTATTCGAAAGTCAGAACAATAAATTGACGTAGTGTCAACAATGATATAACGGTTTTTTCTCAAAGTAAATCTACGGGAGTGTTACCAATTCTGAAACATGATGCCAAAAATTCTAAGAAGTTATCTATTTGTTATGATGATAAACTAGTTTTTTCGGATAACAAGGTTTTACTTTGCTGGAAGTCTAAATAGTTGAGTCAAACACTGAGCCAAAAACATGCATTGCATTTTTGGCGGCAGAAAGTTTAAAAAACAAAAAAGTTCAAGAAACTGTCTACTGCTTAAGAAAAATATGACATGTAAGTTTTCACATCAGGAATTTTACAGCCATTTGCTTTTTCTTGTCTTTCGAATTCTCAGCCTAGAAAGATCTGATGTTTATTTTTTGTCACTTGTCTCTTCTTGAGTTTTCCTCATAAACAATAAGATTTGTGGAACCTGATCTAAACTACATTTTATGATTGGATAAATTAGATATTTTACCACTGTAAAGTATTTAATATTAACCAATCATGATCCATCTAACTAACAACCCACTTATTTGTAAGTGCTGAAATTACTTGTAATTTCAGCACCAGAGAGATTTGAATTTAACTTAGAAATTAGTTGCCTCTCCAAGAGAACTTCAGCAGCCGCAATAAACCAGTATACCCTAGATCTATTGAGCCTAGCAGAGACTAGTTAAACAACCTGAGACTAGAATAGTATAAGAGTAAGATTAGGATCGGTATTAGACTAAGAAGTTGCACGAATCTATCCGGCCGAAAATAAGATAGCGTGACGAGCAGACGGTGTACCCTATCCGAAATTACTCTATGAGTTAGGACCATCGGTTATAACTCATCTGGTGCGACCATAAGTCTCGAACAAGACCTTAATAGCTTAGAATTAACCAAAAATAGATTAGAATTTAGACAAAACATTTTTAAAATGTTACACGACGATAATTTAATCGAAATGTCTCTACGACTCAATAGATCAAAGCCAATATTCCGAACGATAAGAGAACTACCCGGAAATGGAAGAAGACCTCGAACCAGAGAAGACATACGACAAAGTAGAAACTTACCAAATAGTTATATGATAGTACGGCAAAAGCCAACACAAACTTTTATATTTAGAATCTGATTAGCAATGAATTTAGATTTTCATTTGCAAACTTAAATCTTGAAGTCAATCTTCATGATCATTTCAGGCGCTAAACAAAATATTAATATACAATAACGATTGATAAAAAGATCTCAGATCGTTTTCCTAAAATTCTGCAGTATTATATAAAACATGTTTGGAAAATATTTATTGAAAATCAAAATAAAAATTAGTAGCATGACAATAAACTGTTAGTAATCATAAAATCATCAGTTGTCCCAGCTTCATCACCTAAAACATAACAGCAATCATAAGCTCACTAATATCATTAAAACACTAAATCTTTTCTTAAATAAATTTAAACCATTTTAAACTTAAATTCACTTAATCTTAAAATCAGATCATCAAGGCTTATCCTTGGATCTTAATTAATTTTCTATTTAATTAAATTTACAAAACTTGATCATCAAGGCCTATCCTTGGATCAAAAAGAACAATTTTGTTCTCCCCCACCCACTTAGCTAGTGTCTAACGACCTCAAACGTCGATTCACTATCCAACCCTTTCAAAAAACCCAAGACTAATAGAAATTTTTGAACAAAACTAATCATTCAAATTAGGATAAACAGTGAAGAACTTCGGTTATTCATCCTTCACTTGAACCCTCCTCTTACCAGACCCAGGATAAATCGTAGACTTAGTAAGTTTAAAATAGTATCTAACGAACTACTCGCGTTCTAATTATACCTGAACCTTGTGGATCGATTTACTATTCTCCAACCCTTGAACACAATCACTACCCCTAAGTAAGATTAAGTAAGTTAACACCTTAGCTTATACTAGCCACGAGAAAGTAAAAAATCATTCTTCGGAATCGATATACTTTTCTCTCCAACCCTGAACAAATTGACCCAGGTTAAGCTAACCAAAAAATCGTAAGGACTAACAATTTAAGAAAATAGAATTCATCTAACAACTTCTTGCATCCGTCATCCTAAACCTTATGTCATTTAAAAATCTAGGAAACAAACAAACAATCGTTTTGCACAACTGTGAAATAGATAACAAAAAATACGACCTTGTAATCACACCTCACACACAAACAGTTGGATATATTAGAACAAAACGACAAACACTAAAAAGGAAAATAATAACTAAACAAAGACAAATAACACGAAAAAGATTTTCCAAAAATAGAAACGCATTCTCAGAATCAGAAGTCAGCAATTTAGACGAACTTTATAAATTAAAAGAATCCATTGATAAAAATTGCCCTATTCACGATCAATTATATTTTTCCGACTCAGAAACAACTTCAAATTCATCAAAAAGAGGAAAAAGAAGAATAAAAAAGCAATATAAACACAAACCAGTACACTTGTATAATTGGAATCAACCAATTAGACACATCGATAATTACTTATTAACAGTCATTAAACAAAAAAATGAGCCAAACACACACTCCAAGTGAAGATAGTCCAGACGATGACGATATCTACCCCTTCTTAGTAGATGCACCCGATAATAGAGGACAGCATGATCTTTGTAAGAACTTTCTCCTAAATTTGTTTGAACCCGGAATTAGCCCATGTAAAACAGAGTTCCCAGATGTAAAAATAAAAAGACAGATTATTGATCCTTATCTGAAAGATATATGTAACTTAACACAACAATACGGAATCTACACCATAGAATTCAGCTCACCAAACCCGAATCACCGCAAATATGTAATTCAAACAGACGATCTTGATTTAGAATTTTCAAAAGTATTCTCAGAATATATAAAAAGTATACAATATCATAACTCACAAAGAGCAAACTCCATATTTACTAATGAAGTTTTTGCAATAATATATAGTTATATTTCAATATTAGAAAACGAAAACCCAATCCCGCATATCTCACCGAATGAGACATCCAAACATATAAAGGTACGACATGAAATCACACTATTTTCAACTTTTCTACATATAATTAAAGAAAAATTCACTAAAGATGATGTTTCACAACATACAAAACATGACTTACAAAAAATTTTGGCATGATTTATAATAGATTATTTCACACATAATATAGATTTAATTTCACAAGCAAGAAAAAATTTTAGACCCCAAAATTCAAACGATGATACCGCCATCACAGAACAATCGGACTACGTTTGGGACCCCGAATGGTGTCATTATGCATTCATAAATATCCCACAATCAATCTCAAGTCAGGCAATAAGTACAATATCTTATGTAAGAGATTATGTAAGGGTAATACCATTATCCATTGATGCAACACCATTAAACTACAATACATTTTTACCCGATACGCGAAATAACAGTTTAAATTCGACCGTCATACACAATGAAAACCTTAATGGAACTAGGAACCTCACTCAACAAGATATTCAAACACCATCACACTTCATAAATGAAGAAATTGTCCAAACAACAACTACACAACAAAGTATTTCACCAATACGTCCAAATTTAACAACACCAAGAAATACAAATACTTCACTAGCACAAGTAACCTTACAGTCAACCGTTGAACCTTCGGTTGCTCCAAAATATTCACAAATGGATTATCAAACATATAGACCCATGACAATACCGTCAAAAACACGCAGAACGTTCACAAGAAACACTTTTGCGGAACACAATTATAATTACGCACATTCATCAAAAACAAACTATCCCCCACGAAAAAATAATAATAATCAGATCAGATCTCGATATTGGGATAACCCAATGGCAACAACCAACTCAGTAAATTTTCAAACTAATTCACATCCTCCACAGGATCGTAGTGAAAATTACCCATTCTTTCAACAGAATAAAAATAAAAAGCAAGCATCTCATCAAACGGATTATTTATCCTCTGATGATGATTATTTACAACCAGATATATTTGCACCATACACTCAAGAATATCGTGGACAAGGAGTGCAGAAACCGTATACATATCGTAGAATTTTTTCTCCACACCCAACAGATACACAAAATCAACAACCAATACAAATGCAAAACCCAATTAATACACAATCTTTTCAACCAATTCAGCCACAAAACCCAATGATTACACACTCGTATCAACCAACACAAATGCAAAATGAAATACCACTTCCATATTACCTTCAACAACACGAAATAACAAAAAATCAACTTTCAAATTTTTCACAAATGCCAAATGCCGCAGAATCATTACAAATGACAATGAATCCATACCTTATGGGTGGATCATCAATAACATCAAACAAACCATTAATGGTATTCACAGGAACAGACCCTGAATATTCTGTAGAAGATGATTTAAATGCAGTAACAGCAAATTTAATTTTAAATATAGGACCTGAACCAATTAATACGCCACTACATCAA